TGGTGTTGCCACAGAGCCGTTGCACTGTGATTTCTGTGGTGCAGGCTGTGGCCATGGCCATGATATGGGATTTCATGGTATGTTTGGGGTGTCCCAACACAAAAACCCCAAACATCCATGAGGATCCATGCTTCAGAATCATGTTTTTGCACATGGTGTTGTCACGAAGCCCGGGACCCATTAATACTGTGGTGTAAGTAGTGGCCATGGCCATGGTATGGGATTTAATGATATCTTTGGGGTGTCCCAACACAAAATTGCAAAGCATTCATGAGGATCCATGCTCCAGAACCATATTTTGGCTTCATGGTGTCACAATGATGTCGTGGACATGTGATTTCTGTGATGCATTCTGTGGCCATTGGCAAGGTATGTAATTTAATGGTGATGTTGGGGTGACCCAACACAAAAACCTTGAGGATCTATGAGGATCCGTGCTTTGGAATCATGTTTTTGCAGCATTGTGTTGCCACAAAGCAGTGGCAACATGAATTCTATTGTGCAGCCTGTGGCCATGGACATGATATGGGATTTAATGGTATGTTCTGGGATGTCCCAACACAAAATCCCCAAGGATCCATAAGGATCCGTGCTTTAGAATCATGTTTTTGCAGAATGGATTCACCACGAAGCTGTGGATCTGTGATTTTTGTGGTGCAAGTTGTGGCCGTGGATGTGCTATGTGATTTCATGGTGTGTTTGGGGTGACCCAATTGAAAAACCGTGAGGATTCACGAGGATCCGTGCTTTGGAACCATGTTTTTGTAGAATGGGGTCGCCATGGAGCAGTGGACATATGATTTCTGTGGTGCATTCTGTGGCCATGGAAAAGGCATATTATTATTTGATGGTGATGTTGGGGTGACACAATGCAAAAAATCATACGGATCCATGACGATCCATGCCTCAGAACCATGTTTTTGCAGCATGGTGTTGCCATAGAGCTGTGGCACCATGATTTCTGTGGTGCGGGCTGTGGCCATGGGCATGATATCGGATTTAATGGTATGTTTGGGGTGTCCCAACACAAAAAACCCAAGCATCCATGAGGATCCGTGCTTCAGAATCATGTTTTTACAGAATGGTGTCACCACAAAGCCGTGGATCTGCGATTTTTGTGGTGCAAGCTGTGGCCGTGGACATGTTATGTGATTTGATGGTGTGTTTCGAGTGACCCAGTTGAAAAACCCTGAGGATCCATGAAGATCCGTGCTTTGGAACCATGTTTTTGTAGTTTTGTGGAGCCATGAATTCATGGGGGCATGATTTTTGGAGTGCTGCCATTAGTCTAAGACATGGTCTACAGTATGATGTAGGTTTTATTTCATTCCACCGTAGAAATCATATGAATTCATGAGGATCCGTCCTTTGGAATCATGTTTTTGTGCTGCTGTGGTGCCACGAATCTCTGGGTGCGTGATTTTTGTGGTGCCCCTTGTAGACTAACACATGGCCTACAATATGATGGTGGTTTTATTTCGTTTCAGTGTAAAAATCATATGAATTCATGAGGATCCATTTAGATCCGACTTTTACCCAGATCGAAGAAACAGAGGTTTGCTCATAACGCAATCAACCCGTCTTTTGAAAGTCCCACAGGATTCTTGTTTTTAAAAGTGAGTCATACCTTAAGGGACGCACCCCTAGGAACATGACCATGAAAGGCAGAACATTGTCTCCTGTATTTGTTTCTCCCATGAACCTAGAGGAAGGACAGCCAGAGTTTAGCTGGAGCGTTCAAATGTTGCTGCCTAGGTTTTCCGGAGATCCCAGCCTCTCTCCTCTTTCAGGTCCAGTTTTCCCACCGAGGGCTGCAGGGCTGCCCGATCTCGCTCTCTGTGTTCCATTTGTCAGTACTCCTCTCTCCTTCACGCAGTTGCCTGCTCGATTGGTTCGGCGCTCGTTCGCGGCGCTCGGGACTCTGCTGCTAGTGCCTGCCTCGGCTGATTGGTGCTCGACTAGTCACCCTGGCCTTGGTAGTAACTCGGAGCGGCAGCGGCGGTGGAGGCTGCAGTGAGAGAAGGAGGTGGCGGCGGCGATTGCCGTCGGGTTTGGGGTGGCTTTTCAGGACTGGGTCCGGATCAGTTCGGCACCCGTTACCTCGCCGCGCCCTCCTCCGGTCCTATCCTGAACCGAGTGTGCCAGGCCTCGGTCATTCCCTGCCCCAGGTAGGCTCCAGGCCTAGAGGCTCTGGGCCTGGTTCTTTTCTGGGGGTTCCCAGGCTCTTTTCAGCTATCTGGGAAGATGCGGCAGCTGCCCGGGTGGGTGGGGTAGTAGGCAGACCGGAAGGGAGTCGGGGAGCCCGTGTGGAGGGGTGACTCGCGTGGATTGGTGGCGATCGGGGTCAGCCCTGCGTCTAGTCTCTCCACCCCGCCCTTCTCACGAGTAGGTTTGCTTGGTTGCCACATCCACTCCCTCCTGTTTTGTCAGAATTCAGGATCAATTGTCTGTCTTCTTGGGACATGGAGGGAGAGGATCCAAGGCTCACCCAATGGTGCTTCCAGGGCCATCAGTTCTAGTCTGAATATGAGGAAGGGCTTGTTTGGTTTTGCTTCTTCTGCCAGCTGTGTTATTTTAACTCCTTTTAGCATACAGTGAGTTGCTTGAAGATCTTTTCTCTCTTTCTTCCCCGTTTCGTTCCTGATTTCCTCTATGTGAGCAGACAGATGATCTGCTCAGGTAACACGCTGGCCCAAAATGCAGTTAGAGGTATTTTCACAGGAAGGGAGTTTAGTCATATTCTGGTTGAATGAAGCAAGTTTTCTCAGGTACCTCTGATATTTCCCATGAGATTAAATAAGTAACTAGTTCTCCTGAATGTGTTTATGTTGGTCACTGTCAGAGAATGATAATATAATACAGCGCTAAAACAAAAGCATCTTAAAGTATGGTAGTTTACTATATGACAGCAAGCAAACCATAGTGCCCTCCTGTCATTTCCCATAATTTGCTGGTAGCACACATTTAAAAGCCTAAGTGCTTTAGTTGCTGCAAAACACTGTCTAGGCTGGCAGGTTAGTATGATACATAAGTAGGAATGATAGATATGTTTTCTTGTGTAATCTTGAGATAGCTGTCCTTATAGGATGTCATCCTTGGGGTCTTTTCAGACTATAATTTTATTGTGCAATAAATGTGAAGCTATCAGTTGTGGCCCAAATGCTTTCTCCTACCTGATGCATCTGGAACTGAGAAATAATATTCTACCAACAAAAGCTTACAATATTTTTGTGGATAGAAGGATTTGTAATAGTGTCTATTTCTGTTTTCTGTTTTTAGCATTTTCTATTAGTTATTGCATGTAGTCTTGTAAAGTGATGTCTGGAATGTGGCTGCATGAATATCATGGGTACCTATTGGTTAGTGCTTGTGACATAATTTGTTAGGAGTGATGCCCCACATAGCTTTCTATATATTTCAAAAGTTATTTCTGTTCTTTAAAAAAAATCTTCAGAGCCTGAGCATTTGTACACAGTCCCAGGCTGTCATAAGATGGCATCTGTAGACCTTTTAATATCTTTCTTCTCTGTAGTAATACCTCTGCCACTTAGTTTTTAAGGCTCTTTACTTCCCTTCTCTGGAACTGTAATAAGTGATTGTGTGAATAACTTAATAGCCTTTGTCAATTTCACTTCTCTTCACTCAATATGAAGTAAGCAAAATTGACAGAACTTCATATCACTTTTCAATTAGTGGGCATTTTTAATAATTATATCAAAACAGATACAAGCAACCTGACATTGTCTGTGCTTATAAAATGTTTGAAAAACCTGATGTTACAATTCACGTTGATCATGAGGCTATTTAAATTTTTCTTTCTCCTGTAAATTTAGTTAAGGAAACTACTTCTGAAGAAAGGTCAATGAGACAGAGTTTTGTAACCACTTCCACCTTGAGTTCCTAGTAGATCAGCCTAATGCCCTTAGGTGTCAGATATACCTAAATAATCTCTAACAAATACTTGTCCAATGTAGGTGAGTGTGTCTTTTTGGCACAAATTTCAAAGGAAGTAAATCCCATAAATATCTTTGGCGATTGTTTTTATGATTTGATTTTATACTTAGTAAATCTGCCTAAAATATCTAATTTAAATGTGCTTCTTATAGTGTATATACTCACTGCTTCTTGACCTGGCTGGGGTAAATATTTAACTTTCTGAAAATTTAATATATTTGGAGGCTGGTGGTATATTGTCCCCTTCTCAATATGTTGGTCCTTTCAGCCAATTATACAAACTCTCTAAAACAAGAAAACCGAAGAACAATTGCAGCAAGAACCTGGACATTTGGATTCAGACTACTGTTTCCACAGGCACCAAGACTTCTGCCTGCAGAGGGCAATTTTCTTGCCCCTCTCCCTGTGGCAGCCTGAAACACCCCTTTTCACCTAGAAACAAGTTTTTGGGAGGCATTTCAAGCTGTCACGCGAGGATGGTAGGTGGGAAAAACACCCTCCACTGCACATGAGTCTGGATTCTACCCTGAATGTTTCAGGCCTCAGACTGATGCTACTAACTGATATATAGTGTAAATGAGAGGCTCAATGTCGGGAGACTGCTTGACTGTGAAAGTTAGTGAACTATGAAACTATGCCATTAAGTGGACTAATTGGGACATGAATGAATAATTCATGTTGTAATAATATTAGCAGTCTCTTTCTAACACTAAGGAGCTGAAATAATGTTTTTTAATACAGTAGGTCCTCTCACCTCTGTACATGTTGGAATATGAAAATTGAAAGTTATATGATATCAAGGTTTGTCTATCAGTGGTGATGGTATATGTGATCTTATGGGAGAAACAGGCTTCAGAAGTGTAGGGACTTTTTTCAGTAAGAAAACAAGTGAGTTCTAGGAAAATGTAAAAAGGATTACGCTGTTAGGGTTAGCTTTTAATACTCTGAAATATGTTACATTACTAGGGAACTTGCTCAATTTATTGGTTTCACAAAGTTTTTTCTCAGATTGTTGTTTTTTCTTTTGACATCTTTCAGGCAAAATGTTTACATACTGTAAATCTTGGCTCAATGATGTGGTGTTAATGAAACATTTCCTTTCAAAGATATTCTATGACCTTTTTTGCCTTAGTCGCCATATTTACCAATATGAAATACCCCTCCTATACCAAAGCTTTAATTTTTTCCTTTATCTCTTCTTTAGATTGTTGTCATTCAGAAATGCACCAGTTCCAGAACCTGGTTAAGTTGTATTATCTGTGAATCAGATTTTTCTTTGTTTAGGTAAGTGGCTTTTTCTGATAAATTTCTCAGTACTGTTTATTGACCTATATGTATTATGAGTTCTAAACAAGTGGATAATCTTGTCTATAGACATTTATTTAAAACATTTATTGGTTTGAGGTAGTAATAAACATCTAGGACTAACAATGCAATGCCAAGTCTGCTGATCATATTCTGGAAGAAACAACTATCTGAATTCCTTAAAGTAATGGCTAACACAACACACAATGTGGGGGGAGATATTGATCAATAGGTGCATGGAAAACTCCAATAAGCAAGCTGTCATTTTTCTTCCTTAAACAGCTAATGACCTCAAAATTAGTCTCATGATTTCAAACCCATGGGGTGTAAACACCATGAGCCTCCTCTCCTAAACTAAAACATGGTATGGTCAGGATGTCACTCTGTAGATAACTCTGCATATGATTGCATAAGTAGAGTTGTTTGTATGTGAGTTTTTTGACCCTACAATTTGTTTATCCCTCTCCAGTCCACAAGTGATTATAGTAGGGTCAGGGAGATCCAGCACAAGGTAAACGTGGCACAGTCTGGCTCAAGCTTTATGTTCTTTACACTGTAAAAGCAATGGTGGGGAATTTAACGTTATCTGATGATCTCTGTTGGAGCCAGGTCTCCCATACCTTCCACTTCCACTAATTGTTTGATAAGGATACTGACCAGTGAATGAAATATGGATTTAATAGTCCATTGTCCCCCCCCATTGTAATGAGGCACAATTATGTCTTTTGTATTCATTTTGTTTTAAAGGGATTAATAAAATTTTACCGTTTTTCCCTGCTCTTCCTCCTAATGTCAGGAATGTACTTCCACAGCGGGAATAGCTGGATGTATCCTGAGACTAACTTGTGCCATTCTATATTGACTCTCTCAGTAAAAAATAAAAAGTCAGCCTAGACCAACAAGTCCTCCAGCTTGTGATTTGGAGGCCTTAGGGGAAAGTACATGTCTGCTCATGAGTGGTCCTGTGATTTGCTCCTTGTGAGAACACAGGCAAAGGATGGTTCTGGAGAGAGCTTCCAACATTAAACATAACTGCACTTCCTTTGATGCCAGGAACTTTGACATAGCACATGGTTGCTATCAGAGTTAGATAGAAGGAGTATTTCATTTTAGTCTTTACATCATTTTAAAGGATCTGTTTCCACTGACACCCGAAGTTATGCATAGCTAAGAAACAATTATACATAAAATTCAAGCAGCTTGATAATATGTTGTGCAAAAACAGCAAGCAATAATAAACTAGCACAGGAGATGCAAACTAAATCAGCCCACTAACAACATATTCTGGAATGACCCATATTTTCATCTGCCTGTAAACACTCAGCACAGTGGAGCACATGTAGGCTTCCATTGGGTATACAGTCCACAGGAGGTCTGGCTTCTTGATTAAATCAGCTGTGTGAAAGGAGGGACATGGAGCAGAGCCTTCCCAGCAGATCTTACATTGTATGCCTGCTGTTAGAACTATTGGTGCCTGCCTTCTGCTTACTGTTTCTTTTAATGGCTGTTCTTATTTTTGTTCTGTTATATTTTGCTTGCTCCATCTCCCCCCCCCTCTGTTGCAGCAAAATTAGATGGAAGACCAGTAGCAGATTTAAAGACTAGCAATTTATTTCAACATAAGCTTTTCATCGGAACTTGCTTCATCAGATGCAGTGTGGTTCAGTTGTGCATTCCTTGCATTAAACATTTTATTTTACAGAATTTATACCCCACCTTTCTGCCCAAATGCTTTTTACAAGGCAGTCCCATGTAGAGTGCATTGTGGTAATCTAAGCAAGATACCCTTTCCTTTCTTTCCTGAGATGGTGGTATGGAGTAGGTTGAGGGATACAAACTGAGTGATCAAAGAAGGTAAAAAACGAGTTTATAGGCAGAAAAAGAAATCTCAGGTAGTATATGGAAAAATTCAATCCCAATTGGGGAACCAGTTGACTTGGGCAAAAGACTAAGTGACACTTAAAACTCAGACACCACAGAATAGCAACACACATTCCTGGCATAATCTAAAATACGTGGTGGTTAGTCATTATTTAAATTCTCGAGACCAGTTATCCAGTGGGACACTGGGGGTTGATTTCTTCATCTAGGATCAGGTTGGGGTTGGTTGTTACGAATTTTTTGCAGATTTTTCATGCTAGCCAGTCAACACTATTGTATTGAGCCTGGTGTGACAGACTTTTGGAAAGCAGTGCCATTTTCTAGATGTTCTATCCACTTAAATGCACTAAACAGAGGTGTCAAGCTCAGTTGTTTCCATGTGTGCCATAAAATGTAATGCCAAGTACAGGTGATATAAACTTTATAAAGGACACAGGCAAACCCAACTAATGATATTATTTTTTTACTCAAAATACAAACATGCTTAAAGCATTAACATCCTTACAGTATTTCCTTATACTATCTCCTTGATGCCTGCCCTCCCATTTCTGTCACTTGTTACACATTAGCACTGGAACAGTATACAGGGACATAATGCACAGCATCTCTAGCAACAGAGGTAAGGACCAGTTGCTCGTAGGCCAGATAAGAGCCCTGGATGGGCCAGTACTAGCCTGCAGGCCATATGTTTGACACCCCTGCACTAAGATTTTTTTATTGGCTACAGTATCTTGAGGTATGGCAACACAGGGACGTCAATTTTGGATAACCGAGGAAAGGGATTGTAGGGGCAAAAAGATAGTGCAGGAACTATAGCACCTAACAAAAGCAAGTTATAAATGTCAGATGAAATTGGCACCTGAATGCACTGAATCTCCACTTGAGTAGACTGGTATTTACATAATCACTGGAGTTGTTCTGTATATAAAGGTAAAGGTTCCCTTGCTCAAAAGCCAGTCGAATCCGACTCTAGGGTTGCGGTGCTCATCTCCGTTTCAAAGCCGAAGAGCCAGCGCTGTCCAAAGACGTTTGCATGGTCATGTGGCCGGCATGACTAAACACCAAGGCGCACGGAACGCCGTTACCTTCCCACTGAAGTGGTACCTATTTATCTACTTGCAATTTTTCGCTTTCAAACTGCTAGGTTGGTAAGAGCTGGAACTAGAGATGGGCGCTCACTCCGTCAAGCGGTAGCTCAGTCTTGAACTGCTGAACTACTGACCTTCCACAGCCTGCAGTTCAGAGTCTTAACCACTTGAGCCACCGCAGCTCAAGAGTTGGTTTTTACACCCCACTTTTCTCTATCCTAAGGAGTCTCAAAGTGGCACTTACAATTGCCTTCCCTTCCTCTTGCCACAGCAGGCACCCTGTGAGGTAGGTGGGGCTGAGAGAGTTCTGAGAGAACTGTGACTGGCCCAAGGTCACCCAGCTGGCTTCATGTGGAGGAGTGGGGAATCAAACCTGGTTCTCCAGATCAGAGTCTGCCGCTCTTAACCACTGTGCCATGCGGGCTCTCACTTGTGTGTCTTCAGAATACATTAGAATTCCCTTATCTGCCTGGTGCTACTGCATAAAAATGCCCAAAGAGGCTTACAGCAATGTATAAAATGAAAATACTTTATAAACAAGTAATCAATGACAGTCAAGCCCATTAAAACCTACTGCTGGTGGTTAAAAGGTATGATAAACAATCTCAGTAAGGGCAATCTCAACAATTAACTACACCTGACAAATCATGAATTACACTGAACAATTAACAGAGGCTAGGCAAACCTCCCCAGTGTTTGACATTCAGAATCTCGAGGAGTGATACTGATATCTGACAGTGCTGAGGTGCTCCTTGGAATATCATACGCCCTGTAGAGCAGTGATTCTTAAATGATGGGTCATTCATGATGTCTGGACGTTTAATGTACTGGTAATTGAGGGTGCTTTGCATGGTCTGTAGAACTGAAAAGAAGGAACAGGAATGGCTCTCATGCTTCTTCTCCCCCTAAATGAAAGGTGGGGGCAGGAGAGTCAGGGAAGAACATGTGCCTGTCTTGTGTTTCTTGTGGAAGCAGCAGCAGAAGAGAAAATACAATCAATTCTATGGATTGTGTGAACTACTTTAAAAGACTAAGGATGGAATAGATGGGCGTTGCCAACAAGTAGCTTGTTTGCTGGCTGCTGCAGAGTAGCTTGTGCATTTCTTTAGCGATCCAGGAAAACATTGCAACTAGATCTGTTTCATCTTTTTTTTAAGCTTTGATTTCATAGGATTTTTCTCTGAGCTGCTTAGCTGATAGCTTCATTTCTGGTTGTCCTTTTAGCTCATGTAATGTTTCCAGGATAGGGGGTGAAAAAACCTGGTAACATTCTGGGGGAATATATTTTGTTACTTAGAAGTAGCTCTCATTAAAGAAAAGGTTAGTGACCTGTTGAATAGATTCATGGGTTTTATGTGGAGTCCTGTTGGTAGGTTGCCTTAGCAAAATGTTTGGGAGTTGCTAAACTTAGTTTCAAGTATGACTAACCTTTCCTGTTATGATGAGGCATGTGATTTAACACATCTTTAAAGTAAGCTTTTGTTTGAAAGAAACTAATCCTAAGTATCCCCCCCCCCCCCCCCCCCTCCAATGCATCCAGAGCCATTCATTTTCTAATTTAAAAAAACACAAATACCTTCCAGATTGTGCTCAAAGTAGATTATGAAAATGAATCAAATGTATACAATTAACTTATTTCATGTAAATTTGATTTGTTATGTCTGAAAGCAAAGCAGTCCCTTTGGAAGGTACCTTCAAGGATTCTCTGAGCTAATGTTTCTTAGCAAAGGCAACTTCTCTTCTGATAGCTACTTAAACATATCCCTCTTAATAAGCAGCTGTTGCCTTGGCTCAGCAATTGAGAATTTGTTTTCCATAAAGTTATGTTTATAATACCTCCGTATTTCATACTTTATGTCTGGTTGTTTATAGTATTTGATAATGAGTGTGTTTCTTAATCCTTGTATCTAGTAGCCAAATGCTGGCCACTATGCAGATTAAAGTGGGGCCAGCCCTGCCTATAGTTAGAACTCTACAAGTACACAAAACACCCAGGTTTACCAAATTACGATTTTAAACTTTAGTTGGGGAGAAATGAGAGCCAGTTTGGTGTAGTGGTTAAGTGCACGGACTCTAATCTGGGAGAACAGGGTTTGATTCCCCACTCCTCCACTTGCATCTGCTGGATGACCTTGGGCAAGCCATAACTCTGGCACAGCTGTTCTTGAAAAAGAGCAGTTTCTGTCAAGAGTTCTCTCAGCCCCACCTACCTCACAAGGGTGTCTGTTGTGGGGAGGGGAAGGGAAAGGAGTTTGTAAGCCGCTCTGAGACACCTTTGGGTAGTGAAGGGCGGGGTATAAATCCAGTCTCCTCTCCTCCTCCTCCTCCAAACCTTATTGAGTAATTATTTGGATTCATTGCAGATCTTGCTTTTGACGCCCCTGGCTTGCATTGAGCTTTGGGAAATCAGCAGTAGGTTTTAGTGCCCTCTCCCAAACATCAGGTGCTAGGTGAATCAGCTGATGCTTGGGAGAAGGCACCAAATTACAACTGTTTCCAGAAAGGACAGTATGAGCCTTAGCCTTGTGGATGTCTTGCTCACTGCAGTGGCCACAAAGAAGAGGAGAGGTGAGTGAGTAGTGAAGTGCAGAGGGAGCCGGTGGTGGAGCGCAGGCAGGAGAAGTGGAATGCTATTTCCCTTCCCTTGTGAATCCCTGCAATTAAAAGTAGTGGAAACTAATCCCTATCATAGGTTATTTAAAATAGCTCGGTGATCATATGCAATCTATCAAACAGGTGTTAAAAGTATATCAAATCTTTCTGCTTGCTAAATGTTTAGCACAATTGTTCATTGCATGGTGCTTGAATTTATGTGATCAGCAAACAGACATTTTTCTTGGAAGGAAAAGATGCAGGTTTTCTTTGTAGATTGATAACTGCAAGCCACTTAGTGGCAAATTCATCATAGGGACAAGGGTCTCTTGTACTGTAACCTGAAATAAATTTCGTATGTACCCTATTACTACAATGGTGCCTTGTGCTTGGGAATCTGAAGATAATACAGTAATGCTATAGGTTTGGAGAATGTTAATGACAAGTATCTTATCATACCTTTCTGTGTTGACATTTAAAAGCTTCTGGCTTAAGCTGCCTTCTGAAACACCTCCTCCCTACCTGGATTTCCATGAGGACAGTCTTGCAAGGTGTGGATGGCCTTTCTGTAGCTGCTTGGCACTTGTGATCTGGTGTCTGTCGGTGACTCATTTCTCTGCACTGGAACAGTTGAAGCCATGAAGGTTGTACCAGAGAAGAATGCTGTGCGAATCCTGTGGGGCCGAGAACGAGGCACCCAAGCTTTGGGAGCACAACGTCTTCTGCAGGAATTAGTAGAAGACAAAACCCGGTGGATGAAATGGGAGGGAAAGGTAAGGTTAATGAGGACATGTGTAAAAGTTGGTCTCTGAATTTGAAGACTGATCTGCTTATGGGTGATATAGTGCTAACCCGCTTATTTGGTTTTGGAGTTTGAATTTATATTTATATTAGGTATGTGCCACTTTCAGATTTGTAAAAAAATTAAACACCTTCTTGCAATGAAGTAACCCACTGATGCTCTTGAACATGTTGTGCTCATGTGTCGTTTCTCTTGTATTGACTCTGTAGGTGGGAGGGATAATGGCAGGTGTGTCAGATGTTTTGAGCTTAGAAAACGTTTTATGCTTTTCGACTTTTTCAGAAGGTTGAGCTACCAGACAGCCCTCGCTCCACTTTCTTACTTGCGTTCAGCCCAGACAGGTATACATGGCTTCTTTTCTTTCTCCATTTAAATGCTCTGTGTGTCAGAAAGGGTTGTGAGAGGGTGGTGTTTTCCAGCAGCGAGTGCTGCCAAAGGACCTGCCAGCTGTACAATAGCAAACGTCGACCTTTGATGATCTGAGGTTTCTTTATGTATGTGACACTGATGGGCAGTGGTGGCAGTTAGGTGATGGACCTATAAAGAATTTGTTCTCAGGAGGTTGTTGTTTTATGTAAACAATAGTACAATGCTGGTGGTGGGTTGAAGGAACCATATTTTTCAGGCATCGCACAGGAGATGGCAGTGTTGTCTTCTGTACTCTGACAAATGCTCCTTCTGTCCTTACAGTGCTCTGCATTACTTTTTCCTTGAATGAAGATAAATTTTGCTTCCTCACTTTCTCAGCTGTTTCACAAATTCTAGCCTGCTTCCTTGTGTTTCATAATGGGAAGTGGATCTATTAAAAACTTGCCTCCCCTCCTCTTTGCTATCCACTCTGGAAACAGCTGTGAGCTGAAGAATAAAAGACTAGATAAATTGTCTTCTCCCTTTCCAAACCTGGGACCCACTTAGTGTAGGAGCCATTTGGCTGCAAGCGTATGAGAGGAAGTCATGTTTTAGGATGAATCTCAGGGCTGCAGCAAAATGAAAAAGGTAGTTAAATAAGGGCTTGCTACAGAATAAGTTCTGTGACCCATTGGAGGGGTCTTGAGCCATGGGCAGAATACAACTGGATTAGATCATAACTACTTAACAGGGCCATTGCTGTACACCTGCTACAGATACGTGGGGATAATACCTCGTTTGTAGGAATGGGATAATGTAGATAGAGAATAAAACCTCCAAATTGGGCTACCCACGTGTTTTTTTTAAAATGCTGTCTTATCAAGTATTGCTGTGAATAAAACGGCTGTTCAGCTGTTGCTGGCTGAAAAGTAGCTTGTCATAGTAGGTATTGAACTTGTGCTTTGAGCTTAAAATTCTGTGGCATACCATATCCTTCGCCCATTGCATCTGTGTACATGCTTACATGGCATATTTTAAAAAGGGGGGAAAGGAAACTCTTTTTCTTCAGGCCAAATCATACCTGATTCTTTTTACCTAGGACCCTCATGGCTTCTACTCATGTGAATCACAATATTTACATCACAGAGGTGAAAACGGGCAAGTGTGTTCACTCTTTAGTTGGGCATCGGCGCACACCATGGTGCGTAACCTTTCATCCGACCATCCCAGGACTTATCGCTTCAGGGTGCCTTGATGGAGAGGTTAGGATTTGGGATTTACATGTAAGTTGCTTCTAATACACATTCCTTTTTATTTAGGCCTGATTCTGTGCATTACCACAGTGTTGTGGAAGCTGCATTCCCACTCCATTCTGACAATATTGGGACAAAAGAATTATATGCATGGGGCTAATGAGATGGTTCCTTCATGCCCAAATGATACCGTTCCTTTTGGCCTTCCACATACTACTGCACTGGATTCATTTTCTCTGATCAGATTTTTTTAGTTGAGAAACTGGGTAGCATACTGTAGCAGCCATCTCTGCTAGTAGATAGAAGATAAAATATTTTGACAACTGAAGGTTTGAATTCTTCCTAGGTTGAGTGTCTGTATACTTTTGGAACTTATTTTAGAGCTTTATGGGCATTTTAGTGGTAGTGGCAGCAGTTGATTTCCAGATAAAAATGGCTGTGTCTATTTATAATTTGCACACTGTATCATGAGGTGTGTGTTCCATCATTTTTTATCATTCTTAAATGTGAAATGGCTGTAAAATGTTGGCACACAGAAATGAACTTTTTTATTTTTTGAGAGTCATTACTTATATCTCTCTAAACTCCAGAAAGATTTTTAAAAGATTTGGACAACAATGAAAAAAATATAGGTAACTTTAGAAAGAGATTTTGAGGTGTGCAACATTGATTTGAATCATTTCATATCACAATCTGTATGCATTTTAAAATTGCAGGCACAAAACATTACAACTCCGAGCCCGTCAAATACAAAAACACAACTTTCCATTATGCCTGCAATACAACACTCACTGACCGGGGGAAGAGCACAGGAGGGAAGGGGAGACAGCAAAATCAAATAGTTCCTGGCACAGAAGACAGCTTATTTTCTTAACACAGCTCTGGTTGAAATGAACCCTTAACAGCTAGGGGGCTACCTAATAGGTTTGCCCAAATGCTGTCTCCACTCCTGGGACAGCATCGCCTATGGCAAATTAAACTGAGGACATGAAAAATATCTCTTGAAAGAGATCTCTTCCCCCCTTCCCCCAGCAGGGAAAAAATCCTTACAAACCATTTTTCAAACTCCTGAAACAAAATCAGTAAACTAAAAACATATAATAAAAATGAGTGAACAAATGAACTATTTTGATTGTTTTGAAGTATATGATGGGTCTCTGGCAGCCTCTACAAATCAATTATGTCAGCATATATGTAGATGTTGTTTGACTTATGGCATCCCCATAGGGGTTTCAAGGCAAGAGACATTCAGAGGTGGTTTGCCATTGCCTGCCTCTGTGTCTTGACCATGGCATTACTTGGAGGTCTCCCATCCAAATACAAACTGGGCCCAACCCTGCTTAGCTGCGAAGATCTGATGAAATTGGGTTAGCCAGGTCAGGACATTTCTGTGGATAGTTGTGTGATAAATCCTAAAATTTGTCTGTGCAGCTGCAGAGCAATGTAAAATGAAAGCATACACAGTAATACTTGTTAGACAAATTTAAGTTACCAGTTGTGTGTGTAATCAGTTTATGGTCACATATTTTGTTTGTAAGTTCTGTATTTCAAAAATGTTGGTGACTCTAGACTTGTTTGTTGTCAGGGTGGAAGTGAGAGCTGGTTTACAGACAGTAACAATGCCATTGCGTCCTTGGCTTTCCATCCAACTGCCCAACTTCTGCTAATTGCGACAGCCAATGAGATCCACTTTTGGGACTGGAGTCGCCGGGAGCCTTTTGCAGTTGTGAAGACAGCCAGTGAAATGGAGCGGGTTCGGTGAGTAGCCCTTTCCCATATGTATAGCTAATTGCAGGGGAACTTGGAGGGCAACCAGTATGTAAGGGAACCAGCTTCAGAAGATATCCACAGGATAGTCACTTGGACCATAGTTAGCTGGCCACTCCGTCATTTAATTAAAAAGAAAATGGTGAAGAAAAATAGGGATTGTAATAACTTGATCCTTCCCCCTTCCCCCAATGAGTATCTGAAAGTTGGTGGGAACAGTTTTGTGTGTATGTGAGGGCTGGCCCCCGTTGCCTCCCCCTCTCTTGCCTTATTCCAGTAGCTGCCAGTATTCAAGCTCTGCCCTTTGTTTCTGCCCTGGGTTGAGACCTTTGGAACACAATCTGAGACCTTTATGCGGAAAGGAAAAAAAAATTATTTACTAAAATACAGTCTCAATTCATAGAACCCAGGAAAACATTTATATTAAAACCATGCCCAAAAGCATGGTGCAGAGGTTTTGATGTTGGACTACTGGATGGAATGCCCATATTTCTCAATTTTTAGCTTTTAATGCCCCATATTGTTACCCCAAGACAGCTTTATTATATAAATATTGTGTCTTTGCTTTCATTTGGGGAATTAGCTACTAAGGCAGAAGCAGCAAGAGGCTGGGGTATAGCATGGATCTGCTATCAGTTTTTAAGGAGATAGTTCCCTTTAGACCTTTAAAGGTAAAGGTTCCCTTGCTCGAAAGCCAGTCAAATCCGACTCTAGGGTTGCGGTGCTCATCTCCGTTTCAAAGCCAAAGAGCCAGCGCTGTCCGAAGATGTTTCCGTGGTCATGTGGCCGGCATGACTAAACACCAAGGCACCCGGAACGCTGTTACCTTCCCACCGAAGTGGTACCTATTTATCTACTTGCAATTTCTTGCTTTCGAACTGGTAGGTTGGCAGGAGCTGGAACTAGAGATGGGAGCTCACTCCGTCATGCGGCACACTCGGGTCTCGAACTGCTGAACTACCGACCTTCCACAGCCTGCAGTTCAGCGTCTTAACCACTTGAGCCACCGCAGCTCCTTTAGACCCTTAGTAGAGTCAATAACCAGTCCAAATTGTAAAAGAAATAGATTTTATTAGGTAAACATAATAATTTAGGTATTTACATTCGAATCAAGGATTGCAAGCATTCAAGGAGATATAAAAGAAGTTAGCAGACAGATAGAGGGATGGGGAGATTAGGGTAATACTATACCTACCCTGAAGAGATGAAGAAATCCAAGGTATGAAGAGAGGAGGTGTGTGGACCGACCAGCGAGACCACAGAGGACCTAAGTTGTGCTCAGGGGTGTTAGCTTTGTGAGTGCCGAGCTAAATCACACTGAGCATGTGCAAGACTGGGCATATTTATACCCCAAAATGTATCCTGAAGGTATGTTAAAGTGTGATAGCTAGTTTCACAGTGGATTGATGGGATTCCCTTTGTAGAATAATAGGGTGATCTGGTGTTTCCCTGGGTACCAGACAAAGGAGAAGGAGATCTTTAATGTTTGACAGGATGAAGCTGAATGGATGACCATTCTACAGAAATACAGAGTCAATGTTTACCTTGATGGGTCTGGCATAGGTGAGAGAAATGCAAATATCTTGGACAAACAGGTGTTAGAAATGCCAGGATTACCAAGAGGTGTTTCCTGAGTTCCAGGGTGTGAAAGGATTTGGGACAGGAAACATACAACATATTCCATTCATGACAGAGACACAGTGACCAGTGGCTTATTGCCTCTGTCTGTGCATATCACAAACAAAAAACCTGGCATCTGGTCAGAAAATGCTTGAGGCAAGAGCGTAGGTTTGTCCATCCTTTGTCTTTATGGACTGAGCAGAGAAGGGGGGGGGAGGGGTTGCATGGAGGATGTCTGACCATGTAGCTAGCCTGGCACTTGGTCTAAGTTTTCTCAGCTAAAATGTGGGTCTCCTAGTCTCCCAGCAAAAGCCACTAAGCAAAGGCCGCTAAGGCTTTATGAGGGCATTGCTTGTGGAGGTTCAGAGGTTGTTTTGGGGTGTTTCTCTCTCGGGAAGAACCACCCCAGGTACTGGGTTTGTGCTGCTGGTTACAACTCATTTGTGTTTCACTTTCATGTTCTCAGACCTAAAACCCAGTCACTTGCTTTATTTTTCATTTCTGCAACAAATAAGCTGCTAGGAGACTGAAAACATAAATGCATTCTGTATTAGGAAAATTGACATGTTACTGTGGTCATGCAGTGCTTTTAATCTACTAAGCAGTTTACAGCCGTAAGCTTACCTAGTAGTTCCTGCTGGTTCAGTGTTTCTTACAAGAAGGTGTTGCCTCATTCATTTGCATAGCAGTGTGTTGCCATTTGCGGAGTTGCACATGCTTCAGAAATGGGTGAAACTCCCTCACTCTCCCCACATGAATGTGATAAACATCAGGTTTCTTTATACTGTAGCATGCTGCAGAAATGTAAGATGTCCTTTTTGATAGGCAATTGTGTAAGTACAGGTGGTGAGAATAGCTAGTTCAGTTTGAACTGAATCTCTTCTCTTTGTTTCAGACTAGTACGATTTGATCCCCTTGGGCATTATTTACTCACAGCAATCGTTAACCCTTCCAACCAGCAGGTAATGATCTTGTTTTCATTATGTTAAGATCACTCTTTGTCTTGTCCCTAGAAAATCTGGTTTAGATAATGTATCTTTTGGTTAGAATTTTGTATGTTGCCATGTCAGCTATGATTAGTTGCTACTAAACTGTCCAAATTCAAATGCTTTGTAAGCATTTGATGCTGTAGACTTGTTAAAACTAGGCAAGAATGAAGCACACTGGGATACACTGGAAGTCCCATGCAAGCTGCTGGTATAAAAGACCAATAATACATTTGGAGCTTCATCGTTATTATAAACATTTTTCTGTACTGAGCCAATGTCTTGTCATTGTAATTCTCTGTGCCAGTTGGCGAAGAGCCTCCTTGACTTTGATGGTACTAATGAGCTATATTAGAATCTTTCTGCTGCAGAAGCTCTCTATCTATTTGGAGAAAGGCTGTGGCTAAGTGATGGAGCATCTGCTTTGCATGCATAAGTTCCCGAGTTCAGTCTCCAGCATCTCCAATTAAAAGGATCAGGTAGTAGGTGATGTAAAAGACCTCAGACCTTGGAGAGACACTGTCAGTCAGAGTGGACAACAGTGACCTTGATAAACCAGTGGTTTGATTTAGTAGAAGGTGGCTTGATGTGTGTTCAAAATGCAGCTGTGGCTGAAGTTTTCTATTGCAGGAGTAGACTGTGTTCATGAAAGCTGTTTTTGCCCATCCCCCCCCCCCCCCGAGTGTTTAAGTAGGCTCTTTTTTTTTTGAATAATATTTTTATTGGGTTTTTTACACATACAGAAACCCACCACCCACAACATCACCCATTACCATTTATACTTAATTGCTTCTAAACAGCAGCGTTTTCCATCCATTTAACACCATTTCTAAATGCTTCTAAGTAGCTACACAGTCATTTAACAAGTACATTTTTCTCCTTATTCAAACATACAAGCATCCAATAATAGTATTATTATTATTTTCTCACTCTTTTTTTTCCTTGAGACAGTCCACTATTCTAATTTGTTTTACCATTTATACTTAAGAGTGTCTCAGCCAGATTTACCTAGTTTCTTACTTCACTTCCAGAGACGACATCCCAAAAACCAAAAGGAAAAACCTTACTTACATAATCTCTCCTACTAATATCAAATAACATGATTCAATCAATACTCATTTCATTTAAAACCAAACCAAATTTGTAAATATTGAATAATATTAAATAGTCATATTATCCTCTTTAGCTTATAATAATTCATTTTACCCATAAATAAATTCATATATATTACTTTCATATCTTAACCACATTTCTTATCTATAGCTTTTTTACCATTTGTACTTAAGGTTATCTCAGCCAGAATTACATAGCTTCTTACTTCACTATCAGAGACACCATCCCAGAAACCAAAAGGAAAAAACCTACATAATCTCTCCTACTAATATCAAATAACATGATTCAATTTATACTCATTTCATTTAAAACCAGGCTCTTAATAGAAAGAGAGCCTTGGCCTGTTGTTCTTCATATGTTGCTGCTAGGCAATTAACTGTATATACTTTTCTCTGCAGAATGATGAAGAAGTAGAAATACCTGTGGATAGTACAGAAATGCCACATTATCGCCAGCGTTCCATTCTCCAGTCTCAGCCCGTGAGACGTACACCACTCCTCCATAATTTCCTGCATATGCTGTCTTCACGCTCCTCTGGTATCCAGGTGGGAGAGCAAAATGCCAGGCAAAACTCTGCTACTCCCTCCCCTCCTCCTCCTCCTCCCCCTCCTCCTCCCCCCCCCCCTCCGCCACCCCCAGCCAGTGAGGCCTCTAGAGCATCTGCCTTTAACGGCCGCAGTGAGCCTGTCAGTTATCCCTCAGTAAAGTGTTGCCAGCACCTGGGGATGTGGTGCCTTTGCAGACGATGTTCTAGTGCAAGACTTCCGTCTTCTCTCTTCCCATCCCAGGACAATGCCCCTTCCACATCTTCTGGATCCACTGGCACTTCATTTTCTTCTGTGCAAATGGAGCCTTACCAGCCCCAGGATCAGGCATCTACAACACAGCAGGAGCAGGGACTTCTTAACAGACCATCTGCTTTCAGCACTGTGCAGAGCAGCACTGCTGGCAACACCCTGCGCAACCTTAGCCTGGGTCCCACTCGTAGATCCCTTGGTGGGTCTTTGTCTGCCCACCCATCCAGGTACCACCAGTCTACAAGAGAGATGGCCTCTGGATTAGAGGGGTCAGATTGGACTCGAACAGTGTTGAACATGGGCTCTCGCTCTGAGTTGGAAGGTATGCCTCCTCCTAGGACCAGTGCCTCGTCAGTGAGTTTGCTGTCAGTACTGAGACAGCAGGAAGGAAGCTCCCAGTCTTCTGTATATACTTCAGCTACGGAAGGAAGGGGCTTTCCAGCTCCTGGAGTTGAAGCAGACAGCACCAGCAGTGCTGGCCCAAGCAATCCAACCAGCATTCGCAATGAATTTCAGTGTGACTTGAGGCGGTTCTTCTTGGAATATGACAGGCTTCAGGAGCTGGATCAGGGTATAGGCAGTGAACCCGCTCAGTCACATCAGGCCCAGGAGATGCTCAACAATAACCTTGAGCCTGAGAGGCCTGGCCCGTCACATCAACAGACACCACATAGCAGTGAAAACAATTCGAATTTGTCACGGGGGCACCTGAATCGTTGTCGTGCCTGTCACAACCTGCTGACTTTTAACAATGATACACTTCGCTGGGAAAGAAGCACCCCCAGCTATGCACCAGGGCCTGTCCAAAGCACACTTGAGGGCATGCCATCCAGCAGCAGCCAGCTGCTGCCTTCTGAGAGAACAGAAAGCAGAGCTCCTCCCACTAGCAGGCTGCCACTGGGAAGATCTTCTGACCCACCTGAGGAAAGGACTGTGGGAGTGGTGTTTAACCAGGAGACGGGGCACTGTGAAAGAGTTTACAGCCAATCTGCTTCAAACAGACCTGGGAATGTATCACAGGACGCCTTAAACCAGGAAATGCCTGAGGAAAGTTCAGAGGAGGATTCACTCAGGAGGTAAGACTCCTAGGTGCTTCCAATGACCATCTTTCCTTAATCTGTGTCTGAATGTTTACCATCAGATGTGAACTACCGTGAAGATCTGGAGGTAAAGTTCTTTCTGAAGTGATTAGTAAAACTGAATGCAGGGATGAACTTGTAACTGCAGTAATGTATGTATCTAAACCAGAAGGAGAGCCAAGTGATGTAAGAAAATGTATTTATGCAGGGAGGGAATAATGCATAAGTGGGACTTCTGGGCTGGTTTCTAGTTAAAAAAACCCAGCCCAATAATCCCACTTGTGTGCTGACTGAGGCGCTACTAAGAGCGAAGCACTGCAAAGGCAATGTATGGGCAGCTCTTTACTTGTCAGATTACCTCCGTCAGATTACTTGTGTGTGTGATAATAGTGAGAACTTGATTTCTGTTTTCTTTGCTCTCACTGGTCTTTCATGTAGAGAGAGGAGTTCTTGGCATGCTGAAGAAAGTCATTCTTGATTTTGGATATAAGATGGTCAAACTGCTTACAGTAATTAATTCCTCATTATGAATTCTTAGGTCACCCTGGCTTTTCATTGGCTACAGTAATAAATCATAGAATATGGGCTAAAGGACTTTTTAGTATGTTTATTTCTGATACTAGCCAATACCTAATCTTAGAAAGAAATGAAGCCACTCTTCTAGTAATGACATATATTGAGGGGAGGCTTTCACTTTTCCGTGCCATCTGAGAAGTTGCCTGAATTGAACTGGATGCTGGTGATAAAATGACCCTCTTGTTTTAAAAATACCTGCCTTTTTCTTGTCCTGAAATTTATCTAATACTAATCTTATCAAGTGTTTGTATTCATTAATGAATGTTCCTTGAATGCTTTTGACATGAGCTGCCAGATCCATCTCTCCTCGTGTCACACCTATTTGTATGCATACAGGTATTCGCACACCAAAATGCATGCAGGTATTGCGCTAGTTCTAACTGTTGCTTAGCAACAAATGGGCTTTCACCTCAGTCAACTGAGGTGGTCTCTTGCCCAGAGATTTTGCAAGCACAATGTTTGAACTTTCAGACTTGGTGCATGTGCTGGTGTTTGCCACATGTAAAGGGATGAAAAATTGCTACAATCCCAGCTTCCCCAGAGAACTAAAAGATAATGAAAAGGTTGAATTAAATAAATATATATATAAGCCTGTGTCCAACCACTAAGCAAAGTTTGAATCTTTCCATTAGCTTAAGGAGACTTCATTCAAGAGAAGAGCTATGTAAGTTGAAGGAAAGTTCCTTCCTCCAGCCTAAGGATAATGCCCATTAATACACAGGCCACTGTGTAGGTTCATGGCAATGTCCATTTGTTGTACCGCCTCCACAGTTTGATTATAAGAAGCTGGAAAGGCAGGAGGTACAGCTGCACTGGAGTGTGAATGATAAATATGGAAAGGCTGTGGGTATCACCTTTTGAGGCCTTGGGGTTGGAGTAAAGAAGAAGGAGGAAGTGTAGAAGAGGAAGGTGACCGTGAGGCTAGGTATCAGATAGTAAGAAGATAAACCTAACTCATTATGCAGTGCTCCTGTATCAGTTTTCCATGTACATTCTTTGACCAGTTTGCTAGGCACTTTGCTGATACCTGTCATATTTACATTGGCTTGCATGCCACTTTAATTATAGAAGTGTGTCAGGGCTTCCTCTTGTCCAGTGTTGCTGTATACCTTTCAGTTTGTACAGCTTGTACAGCTTGAAGGAGTAGACATAGTTTTGGAGAAGGGAGGCCTATTACTTGCATGTTCAACGACCCTTGCCATTCTTTGCTGCCAGAGGAAGATTTGCCTGTTTGGGAGGTGTTCTAAATGTTTCTAACAGAGATGGTACTTTTCACAGCCAAGGAGGAGGCTAGAGAAATCTTCTCTGTCCATTTGATTCTCACTGTCCCCAATGTTCCAAACTTAGACAAGAAACTCAAACATTTGGTTGTACACAGCTCCAGCCATTCCCAGACGATATGAAGATTCTTCTTCCCTGGTTTGGGATAGATAGCCTGATTTGTGCTGGGAAATGGACTGGGAGTACGAGTCCCTGTTTATCCTTCTGGATCAATATCTTTGGCATGATACCATTAACAGTGGTATCCTTCTGCACCACTTCGTTGTGCTGGAATTCCGTGTTACCTTGGTTCTGGTCCCTCACAGAGGGTAGGCCTCTGGAAGCGGTTCTTAGGGACTGCAGCTTTACCTGTGGTCTGTTGTGGGATGTTTCAAGGTACCATCCTATTCCTCAAGTGGTTAAGTGTATATGAATACTCTGGGTAAAATTATCCAAAGATTTTGGTGTTGATGTCATCAATATACAGATGACACCCAGGTTCCACTAACTTCTGGGGTTTTGATGAAAAAGAGGAGCAGGAGAAGTGCCTGAAATTAGCAATGAACTAGGTGTAATTGAACAAATTCTGGCTTAATCCAGGCAAAAGTACTGTTGTTTGGAAATAGAGCTGATTTGAGGAGTAGAATATTATGTTTTTATTGATAGATTTTATTGATTTTTATCCTGCCCATTTCCGGCCTAGGCTGGCTCAGGGCGATAAAATTTCATGATACATAAAACACATTCATCACAATTGATACCAATTTAGATGAGTTATACAATAATATAAACAATGTTAAAATCAACAATATTAAAGTACTAGAAATTCCAATATTCAATATTCAGTGGCTCAGTTGGTTTGGTTCAATTCTGGGGAAGAGGGGGAGGGAGGGGGATGGACTGGGCAATAGTCTCAGGGACCTACTGCTCAGGGCTTCCACCATAACTATCAGTTGTTGTTGTTGTTGTTGTTGGTATCAGTGGTGGCGGCTCTAAAAACCTGATGGAAGAGCTCTGTCTTGCAGGCCCTGTGGAACTGTAAAAGGTCCCACAGGGCTCTGATCTCCTCTGGGAGCTCATTCTACCAGAGTGGAGCCGCCGCCGAGAAGGCCCTGGCCCTAGTTGTTGCCAATCTGGCCTCCTTAATGCTCAGGAAGACCAGTCGATTCTGGGTCTCTGAACACAGTGCTCTCTGGGGCATATATGAGGAAAGGCGGTATGTCGGACCCTGGCCATAAAGGGCTTTAAAGGTTAAAACCAGCACCTTGAAGTGAATCCGGTGTGCTATAGGCAGCCAGTGCAACGCTTTTAGCACAGGCCGGATGTGCTCCCGTATTGGGAGCCTGGCTGCGGCGTTTTACACCAGCTGCAGCTTCCAGATTTGCGACAAGGGCAGCCCCATGTAGAGGGCATTGCAGTAATCCAATCTCGAGGTGACCATTGCATGGATCACTGTTGCCAAGTCACCGCATTCAAGGAAGGGAGCCAGCTGCCTTATCAGCCGAAGGTGATAAAAGGCTGACTTGGCAGTGGCTGCAACTTGGGCTTCCATTGTTAGGGAGGCATCCAGGAGCACCCCCAAACTCCTAACCTCCGGCGCTGGCACCAGTGGTGCCCCATCGAAGGTCGGGAGTGGGGTTCCTACCCCCGGACCGCCGCAACTCAGGTACAGGACCTCCATCAGATTCAATTTCATCCAGCTCAGCCTAAGCCAACCAGCCATGGCTTGTAACGCCCAATCTAGGACTTCCGGTTTGGAGTCAGACTGGCTGTCCAGCAACAGATAAAGCTGGGTGTCATCTGCATACTGATGACAACCCAGTCCACATCTCCAGGCAATCTGGGCAAGAGGGCACATAAAGATATTAAAAACCGTCGGGGACAACACTGCCCTCTGAGGCACTCCACAATCAAGTGGGTGCCGTCAGGAAAGCTGTTTCCCCAGCGCCAGCCTTTGTCCCCCGGCCTTGGAGGAAGGAGACGAGTGTGGGGTTGTTCCCCCTGTCTCCATTTAAATTTTATTTATTTATTGCAGCTTGGGCAAGACATCCCAGGATGTCTAGATACTGGTCAGCACTGCTCCCGCTAAGCTGTGAGGTCTTGTGAGCAAAAATGCAACTTTGTGAGCTACCGGCATTAAGGTTGTGAGTGAGTGATTTGGCTACTGCATAAATTCGTTTGCTTTGGAGCCATCCTTCCTGAGCTAAGACAAAAATGTGTGAGCCATAGGCTAAAAAATTGTGAGCTATCTCACACTAACTCATCTTAGAGGGAACACTGCTGGTCAGCGGTGCTTTTTACCAGATTACGCTATGCCGTTTCTTAGAATGAGTGTGGTCATAGTTGCACAAGCCCCAGTGACATTCTGATTAGACAATTGTAATGTGCATTGTGTGCATTTGAAGCATATATGGACACTGCAACTGTTCCAGAATGCATCTACCAGGCTTTTGACAGGGATGCCTGTGATGGTTTGGGGTGGCAGGAGTGGGCACAAAAATATTTTGGAGGGAAAACCCCATACAACCCAGAGCCATGGTCCTCGCGATGTTAACACGTATTGATTTTGGTATTGATTTTGAGATTGAGGACTGTCTGTCTATACTACACTTCCCTGTCACAACACCAAGCGCGTCCATGAAAATCTCTAAAACAACATTTATTTATTGAACTGCCAGTGCTTGGCAGTATTTACTGCCAGCCACCCTGGATGCAAATTGTGATGTTTTTCCTGAGGCACCCTCTGCCCTGCCTTGGTAAACCTGATTATAATCTGGATCCTGAAATATGTGGCTGGTACTGCCCTTGAACTGGAACTTGGCCAGCATTCAGTTGAATCTAGGGCTTAGAAACTGACATTAAATCTGAAGCTCAAAATAATGTTCTCTGAATAGCTTATTATATTATATGAAACAAGGTAATTTCTCCAGTTTATGGAATCAGGCTATAATAGAAAAATTGAATATTATACGATGCCCAGATAAAGTTGCTTTTGTGTTACAGGCTAGGGGTCACCCTATCAAGCAGTTGATTATGAAGATTTATATCAGATTATGAAGATTTATATCAGTAGTGCTATCTGGTGGGCTAGGTGTGTCTGCTCATCTCTCCATATGTGAATCCTACCACTTTCTACAATCAGAGGAGTAGAGAAAGAAAGG